TCCTGGGAACCCACTCCAACATCTCTCAATGAAGTCCCAAAGAGGGTCCCCCAAGGCCCAGCCTCCATGAGCCAAGGGACCCAAACACTCAAGGGATGCTGTGCTGCACATGGGGAAGCCCCTCAACTCCTCAGCCCCAACTTTCCCTCCCCCTGCCCCCTTGGCCTTAGTGGATGGATGCTCAGCACCACTGCCTCCTGAGAGAGACTCAACAAGGGGCCATAGGGGTCTGAGAGGGACATAACTGCCACTTGTGCTACGGGGTCCACACACAGCCCCGGAGAGGCTGGTCCCAGGTGCCTTCAGCTGGGGTTGGCTTTCTCTGCTGCTGTTTCCTCTCTCTGAACCATCACAGGACTGACACCTGCTGTGCTCACCAGAGCCTGTTGCTGGCCATGGAAGCTGTGTGATGGGTGCCCGTGACTTTTGTGCCATGCACGCTTATAGGTCTGTCAGGCCCATGTAACAATGGGGCTGGGCAACCAGGCCTGGCTGAGCGAATCACAGGAAGGACCCTCCCGGCATGGAAAATTACTGTTTAGGAGACAGAGGCAGCCTGCCAAGGGGCTCCCCCAAAGGGGTACTTGGGTTGTGGGCTTTCCCTAAAGCAGAAAAACAAGCACAGGCTTCTCAGTACAAGACAGACCTTAGAACTGGGTGATGGGTGTGCGTGTTTGGGTGTGGGGTTGCATGTGTTTGAGGATGTTTGTCAATGCATGGTGCATATACTATAATATGGAATTTTGGGGGTGTGTCCTTGTTTGTGACTTATGTAGGTCCATGTGTGAATGTGGTATTTGTGTTTCTGAATGCCTCTTTGTGTGTGTATAGAAGTACATTTGATCTTGTATGTGTTTGCATGTTTCTGAAAGCAAGTTTGTGCTTATGGGTGTTTGTGGAAGCTCATTAGTGTCTTGTATTGTGCATGTGGGGGCTCTGTGTGTGCTTGGGGAAGCACCTTTGTGTTTGTGTGTGCATGTACGCATTTATTGCTTGTGTTTCTGTATCTGTAGAAGCACTGTGAGTGTGTTGTTCGTGGTTGCGGAAGCATGCTTGTGTGTGTGCACTCCTGCGTGTGTGCACTGAGGGGCACCCGTGGTGTCCATGGGAGGCACAGATTCCCTGAGGGTCATGTCTGCACCAGGACCTCCCTGGAGGATAGCGGCTGTCGCAAGTGCCCCGGGATCAGTGGAGCAGCAGCGCCCTCACTCTCCTCAGCCCTGCTCTTCACCACAAGCACAGTCTGCAGGGCAGCGCCTGGCACTGCCACCTTCTGCTGTCTCCAGCTTGAACCACATGAGGTTTGTGCAGCCAAGCAGCAGCAAGCCAGGCTGCCCGTCCAATTAGTTAAGCAAACGGAGCAAGCTCTGCTGACAAAGCGATGATAACACTCTGTGATAATACCAGAGCAGAGTTTGCAGAACCGCTTCATCCTGCACCCTTGTGCCTGCCATGCAGTGAAGTGATGCAGGGCAGAGAGGGGCAGAGAGTAGCGGCCAGGTGGCAGTGCTGAATCTGGAAGCCAAGGCCAGGATGGGGCAGCGGCCAGTGAACACTGGTCACACCGGATCCCGCCCTAAGGACAGCGCCAGAGGCAGGCACAGAACACACCAGGGCCGCTTTCAGTGAATGAAGATGCAGGGATGTGGCCATCAAGGTAACGCTCAGAAACGGAAAACAGAGGGACTGGGGGAGATGGTTCAGTAGAATAAACACTTGTCTGGCAAGCTCAAGGGGCCTGAGTTCAATCCCCGGTTCCACTAAAAAAAGAAAAAAGAAATGGAAAACAGGTTTAATGATCCTGAAACAAATGCACCATACGTTCTGAGGTGCCAGGCGCTGTGTAAAAACAAGCTCCAGACAAACGCATTTCAGAGTTTATTAGCATAGACGAATAAAACAGCTCCAGGTGACATCACTGCCCCTCCTTCCTGCACAGGCAGGACCTTTACCCAGGAAGCAAACCAGTGCTGCTCAGAAACCACAGGTCCAGCATTAGCCAATCACACTTCAGATACACACGTTGTAAAATGCTGACATTCTCATCTCTGGATTGGGAAGCAATGGGGGGCGCTTACGTTCTCCTACCGCATCGCAGAGCAGACCTGAGCTGTCATCTCATTCATGTGGAAGACCCTCAGCCCATGTGAAAGGACCTGAGCCGTCGCCTCTGTCCATGCCAGGGCAGGGCACACCTCATGTTAAGCCAGCCCTTCTGTCTTGTGTCTCGGGAGCTGCAGGGAAAGACGTCTTTGCCTACTGCGCACAAGGAGACTCCGGATTGCCAGCCCCCTTGTCGGACTGACCAGCCTCACAGGCCACGCGGAATGAAGCATGTGCTTTGCAGCCGGAGAAGGGACAGCCGTTCACGGGGATTGCATCTGGATTCCCACGCCTCGCTATTGTTCAAGGGGATGGAAATATGCAGGGCCATGAAACCATTCTGCAGGTGCTAGAAAGCAGGGTTTCCTGTTTTCCTGACTCAGACAATGGAGAAGCTAAGAAGAACAATAGGAAAAGACTTTCCTATATTTACATATTTAAAAACTGAGCTATTTTCAATTTGATAACTTTTTTTGGGTTAAATCTCATCTGTTCTCCTAGTTTGCCGAGAACTATTTATGGACAGAGGCTTGGAAACAGAAGTATCTTGTGTTCTCATCCACTGGTTGGAAATCTGCCCTGCCAGAGGCTCAGCTTCTCCCCTCAGGAGGGCAGAATCCACGCCCAGCTTGGTGCACAGGCATGGCAGGCCCTGGGCGTGCTCAGCATCTGACACCACAGGTTGCCCACGCAATCAGGGCAGCAAGCAGACCTTCAGGGAGACACGTGGCTCTGTCCTTGCTCTGCCCAGCAGGCAGCAGGGGAACAGCCCAGCTCCCTGAGCTCACTCCTGGCCCCACGGGATTCAGGCAGATGATGCTGCATGAGCTGTTTTACATGGCCTGGCCTTCCCTTCCCCACAGGCCACTCATTCTGCCACTGTGAGCTAAAGCTAAACCATAGAGAACCCTCAGGGGAAGGGCGGTTTGTTGGTGGCCACCTGGCCAGGGGCCATTTCCAGGGGTATTGCACTCATGTTTATTTCTCTCAAGCGCAGTTATTGCCATCTTTTTAAAATCATCTGAATGGTGGGTGTCAGTCCCTGGGCAAAGAGCACCCAGTCTCAACAGGTCCTGTGACCATTACAGGCTCATGCCAAATGGGCACAGCCTTGGGCTCCATGGAGTGTTAAAAACCAGCCTGTGATCCTGGCACTTGCTGGGAGGGCGAGGGGGGCTGAGGCAGAAGGATGGCAATTTCAAGCCCGGCCTGGGCAACTTAGTGACTTATGACACCCTGTCTCAAAAAAAAAAAAAAAAAAAGGTCTAGAAATGTAGCTCAGTGAAAAGGCCCTGGGTTTCATCCCAAGTACTGCAAAACAATTTTAAAACTAAAATTAAAGAAGATAAAAGCCAGAGCTCCAAGTGAAACCCAGAGGGCATGAGATGACTTTAAAAGGTAGACTCACCCCCATCTCAAGCCTGTGTTTTTGCTGCTTGGACTTCTCACATTTCAACAGTGACAAAGAAATTTACACCACTCTGCAGCCCCAAAAGTCCTTCTCCAGGTGGTTGGTGTCCACCTAGCTCCAGGGTGGCAGCACCAGGGTGAGGCACAGCCACAGCAAGGTCTTCGGGGCCCAGGGCGGCCCTGCCAAGCTCAGGCAACTTCTTGCTGTGGTGCTTTCTAGGCGAGCTGGGCTATGAGCAAGGCCCAGAACTTTGTAAACTTAGTTTACACGGAGGGCATCAGGTATGGTAGCCCAGAGCTGCAGCTGTGTTACAAAAAGTGTTAGCTGTTCTCTCTTCCCTACAGTCCTTGGTTAGAAACCACAGGACCCTGAGCACCCACGAGACAGCACGGGCAGGTATAAGCTCCCCTGTGCCCTATGCTAAAATGCTTCCAAAGCACAGCTGCCCAGGCCACCTGCGTCCCTGGCCAGCCTTGAGCAGGAGGAGAGGCAGGGGCCTGAGCAGGACCGCACCGCCGGAGCTGCCCTTGTTTTTCCATAGTCTAGCATGTCCCCCACCCCAACCCCCAGGTGATGCACGCCCCTCTGGCCCTTAGTGCTGGGCTTACACCGGGCTCATCAATCCTTCAAGCAAACTTTTCCCCTATTTTTCCAACCTCACTTGCAAATAAGCCCAGGACTGCAGGAAACTTAAGAACCAGAGGATGTGTGTCTGCACTTCCGGCCTCTCGGAGCAGGCATCTTACTTCCGGCCATTCTGAAGGTTTCCGCCGCGCCAGGGGGCTGAGTGGGCAGCAGCACGGACGAAGACGGAGAGCACTGTTTCAGTCTGAGCAAGTTCCCTCTGGCAGCACGGGGCTTCACATGCAGTCAGAACCTCTAGGGACAGATCTGCCCGTGCAGAAGAGGCACAAACCACTCCAGTGCTGACGCAGCAGCCGCTGCCCTCCGCTTGAAGGAGAGGAGTGTGCAGGGGCAAAGAGAGCTCTTGGGACCTGGCTCCTGGCCCCACGAGATCCAGGGAGAAGGGGAGTCAGCTGCACCTGAATTTGGAAAGGGGGAGCTCATGGGAACCCTTTGTGTTCACAAAGTCCTCGGGATTGCAGGGGGACACACAGAAAACATCACCAGTATGGAGCAAATACCTGTGTGTCCCAAGCCACAGCCCCCACTGTAGGGAACGTGTGTGGCTGGCCAGGCTTCCGAAGGGTGTGGCCTCCCCTTCACTCCAGGGTGGTGGCTGTGACCAGGCATGTCCCTGGCCACCTCCCCTTCAGCAGTCTGACCCAGGTGTCGGACTGTGGAAACAAAAGGTGACACCAGTGTTGACAGTGCTCTGTCATGTCTGTATACTCCATGGACCGCCCCCCCCATCACTCCCCACACTGTAGAGACCCATGCCTCAGGGTACCTGAGGTGCCTCTCCTGCCTCTGCCTCCTTACAGTCAGGTTTGCCCCTCCCGTCCACGCCCTATGCCCTCGGCCCTCACCTGTACTGATTCTCCCGGCCCTCAGCCCGCTCAGGGACCCAGGCATAACTGTCGACTGCATTCTGTGACTTCTTCTCCTTCATCTTCCTCTTGGCTCTCCGCTTGCGACAGACCAGGAGCCCCAGGGCCAGCGCCAGGAGAAGGGAGATGGCCACTACTGTGCCCAGGATGTAGAATAGCAGCAGCCTCTGCCCGTCCTCACTGTCCTCACTGGGAGCGGCCATAGAGTCCTCGTCCATTGGCTGGCCTTGGCCAGGAGCAGGTTTGGACAGGGGGATGCCTGGCTCCGTGCTGAGGCCAGGGTGCCCACTGGAGGTTGGCACTTTGGGGTGGACAGAAGAGGTGGGGACATCAGAGGGCAAGGAAGCCCTCTCTGTGAAGAGCGTCTCTGTGGAGAAACCCTCAGAGCCCCTGGTGGAAGAGGATGTGTTGCGGGGCATGGTGGTGGCAGTCACAGTGTCCCATTTCCCAGCTTTCTCATTCTCTGGCAGGAGACCGGCCATTGATGCTGAGGGCACAGGGTCTGGGACACAGGAGAGCCCGTCACTGGCCAGTGTCCAGCCTGCCAGGCAGCCGCAATGGAAGGAGCCCGGCACATTGAAGCACGGGCCTTGGCACGGGTTGCCTGTGGGATCTGCACACTCGTCCTTGTCCAAACACTGCATGTCATCCTTCTTAGACAGGTCATAACCGGGCAGACAGGAACAATGGAAAGATCCAGGAGTGTTAGTGCAGTTCTGGGCGCAGAGCACAGGGTAGACGGTGCACTCGTCTATGTCTACACAAGCCTCCCCTCCAGGGCCCCCAGGCGTGTAGCCCACCCAGCACTCACAGTAGAAGCCCCCATCCGTGTTGACACACTCCTGGGCACAAGGTGTGTCCTGGCACTCGTTCACATCCACACAATCCAGCTGGGTTGCATCCAGCTGGTAGCCACGGGGGCAATGGCACATGTAGCTGTCTCCCTGGGGACTGGGGATGCAGGTGGACTCCCCCTTGCAGGGGTTAGAGCTGCAGGGGTTTCTAGAGGCACAGGATACCAGGTCATCCCGCAGCCGGAAGCCAGGCCTGCAGCCACAGCGGAAGGAGCCGGCACCTCCATCGAAGCAGTCCTGCTCACAGCCCCCATTGCTGAAGCTGCAGCCAAGCTCAGGATTGATGCAGAGGGGCCCAGTGATGCCCCAGTCGAACACCTCAGCCTCCTTCTCCCGGCATAGCAGTTCATAGCCCTGACGCTCAGCCCCAGCTTTGCAGACCACGCTAGCCAAAGAACCAAAGGGCACAGCATCCAGTGAGGAGGCGGTGGCCCTGAAAGGGGTGCTGTAGTTCACCTGGCCTGGGCCTCCCAGGGCCAGTGGCCGACACATGCCTTTGAAGCTGAACTTGCACACAAAGCCCTCAGTGCTGCTTCCTGGGTTACTGGAAGATCCACAGGGGATGTCAGACCACTTGGGGAGGCGGTCTGGGTGGGGGGTCTCAGACAGGTCCAGCATCAGGGCCACACAGCGCTGGGAGAGGCAGGAGCTCTTGACTTCCTTGTACCAGTTTGTATACTCTGTGTCCTCCCCGCCTCCCGTCCAGCTGAAGCCCTTCAGGGGCAGCTGAGGGTTGAAGCACTTGCTCCTCTCTCGCTGGAGCCCCACCCAGAACTTGCCCATCTTCGCTCCCAGGGGCTCCCGTGACCTCAAGAGCTGGGCCAGGGACCGCTGAATGAGCCGGGCTTCCTCCTTGCTCCTCACCGTGGCCAAGTTGCCCCCATTCTGGCTGCAGAGGCCCTGGGCATCAGCTGCGCTCAGCTTGCCCCAGTGGGCGGTGTAACAGGCACTCCCGGAGCACACCACAGCCTCCACCGGCGCCTCAGAAGTGTAGTTCACAGCCCCCGCCCAGGGCTGGCCCAGGAGTAGCAGCAGGAGCAGGTCCCTTGGGCCAGCCATTCCTCTTCCAAGTCTTCCTTGTCGCCACAGGCCAGAAGCCCCACAGAGGCGGCAGCAGCCACAGGGGCCTGGACCCCGGATCCCAGCTGTACTCCCAGGGGCGCTGAATGCCAAGCTCCAACAGCTCTAACACAGAGACTGTCGCCACCACCGCTCACGTCCCCCTGACCCAAGGCGCATCCTGTGCCTCCTACTTCTTACTTCTCACCGGATGCTGGGGCTTCCTGCAGTGAATAGCTTTCCAACGCCTGCTGCTTTCATGGGCTGTGTTGTTCCTGAAAGGGGCTAGGTCACCGTGCAGGGTCTCTGGCCTGAGCTACGGAAAAGCTCCAATCTGGGATGACAGTCCCAGCTCAGAGATTTGCCAGCTGCTTGATTTGGGTTGAGAAACTGAAATGGCAGCTACAGAGCAAGGAGAGAATTAGGGAAGTGACTGAGATCCCTCAGTAACCAGTCACGAAATTCCTGTCTGGTTTGCAAACAATCAGAGAGGAAAAAAACTCTGAGGTTTGAGACAGCAGGCTGTGGATGCTTGTAATTTTCAGCCTTTTTTAGAAGCAAGCTGGATTTTTCCTTCCCCTATCTCATGTTCCTCGTTGGCTTTGGGAGCCCTTTTTCTTTCAGTGCCCCCATGTTGAACTTTAAATAGACAGAAGTCTTTAAATAAGACCCGGACTGTGGGAATGTCTGAGATGCTAACACAGTGCCAACCACCTCAAGAGCGCCCAAGCAAATTGTTTGAAATTTGGCAGTTGTCGGAGTCCTCTTGTGCAAATAATTGCATGGTGAGGCAGCAGGGTCACCAGGAGGGATTGCAGAAATGAAACAGCAAAAGTGTTTCTGGCCTAAAGACTGTGAGCTTTTGTGCCTCTTCTGATGGCTGAGTTCAAAATGGGGATGAGATGGAGAGATGGAGATTCGGGCCAGGGACAAGAGCTGGGGTACTGTCTCCTTTCTCGAAAGGTTCTCTACCTGCACCACAGAGGTCTGCTTCCTATTGGGTTCCCTCAGCAGGCCACATGGTGAGGACTCAGAGAAAGCCAGCTATTCACTGGGAGATTTAAAGCCAGGATGGAGCCAACACAGGCTGACCTGCTGAGCAGATGACCCTGGACTCCTGGGACAGGCTCAGCTGTGGGATGAGACTGAAAGGAGGAACCTCAGTGGGCACCAGGAACCACAGCAGCACTTTCATTATGTTTGGACCCAGAGCAGAGGTGGTGAGCTCCCAGGCCCATCACGGAGGGGACAGAAAGAGGGGAGGACTGTAAGTCGCAGTCCTTGCTGGGGTCTGGGACACTGATCCCACAGGTACCCCAGAAGAGTGCTGGGATCTCACTGGGTCTGAGTGGAGTCCACTGCACACCTGCACAGTCCACGTGCGGGGTAGGGCCAGGGAGGTAAGCCAGAAGGGAGTGCCTGGCTGTGGTCAGGAAGGTGGCTACCAGAAGGCAGGTGTACAAGATAAGTGGTGGGCTGGCCACACTGCGGATGGACACAGGAGAACTAAGAGTTGTGTCAAAGGTCACTGAGCCTTTATGCTCCACGTCGATGCCAAGGTAATATGACTTGTGTGAATCTTATAAGATTCACTGCCCTACAGCAACTTGATACTCTCTGCTGACCATGAGGGCATGCATACCAGTGGAAGCACTCAAGTGGAAAATGACAACAGGGCCACCAGGTGAACAGCAAGTCACCAACACCTGACACCTTGTCCTTTATGGAGATCTGAGTTAGGCTGTCCTGGGGTTAGGAACTCACTGGCTCTCAGGATCCCACAGGAGAAGGTGCCCACCCTGGACTCCAGCTGGCAACCCCTCTTAAGTTCTTATTTTTAAAAATATATTTAAAACAGGCCAGGGAGCTTCTCTCCAAACCCACAAGATTCACAATATATTCCTTGATGCCTGTAAAGAACCATTCCTCCAGGCTGGTGAGATGGCTCAGTGGTCTAAAGCACCTACTTGGAGCAAGCTAAGCTAAGCAAAACACAGAGACCACGGTTCAATCCCCCAGCACCACATGCCAGCCAGCCCCGCCCCCTGGTGGGCTGAACTGGCCACACACACACTAAATAAATAAATAAATATTAAAAAAAAAAAAAAGAACCATTCCTCCATCCATTCATCCATCTGTCCACCCTTCTATCACTCACCCATCCATCTGTTCATCCATCTATTTATCTATCTGTTCACCCATCCATCCATTCATCCACTCACCCATCTATCCATCTACTCACCTATCCAACCATCCACTCACCCATCCCCCATCCACTCATCCATCCATTCATCCATCCATCCATCTATCCACACACCCATCTCCTTATCCACCTACCAGACCATCTGAATTTTTGTTCCTTCTGTGTGCTGGACTAGGCACTGGATTCCAGGAAGAAATTCTTGTTTTTGTGATCCTTGAAGTCATTTAGAATGGAGTGACTTGAACAGTTACAGCAATGATCTGCTTCATTGCAGGCAATCCAAGAAGGACTTCGGGGTGTTATAACTTGATGTGGGTGTGGGTAGTTTGGAAAGTCTCCTCTGGAGAAGACAGGCAGTGGAGTTGGACTCTAAAGGAGAAATGGTTAAGAGTTAGAAGGTGGGAGAACAATAGGTGGGTGAATAGATGGAACAATAGGTGGAGGGATGAACAGATAGATGGATGAACAGAGGGGAGAACATTCAATGGGATGACTGAAGGGTGGTAAGAGTGGAGCCTGGGGAATGGCAGAGAGGCCATAGGGAAGAGAGAGCCCTGGAGCCCGAAAGATGAAGCACTGGGCTTTGCTTTGACACCCATGAGGGAAAACTGACAGCTAAAGCTAGAGCTGTGAGTAGCAAATGGTCAGTGGGCTTGGAGCCGCCTAGGACCACTCAGCAGGTAGGTGCAGGCAGGTGTAGGTTTCTAACCCTGGAAGGGGGCGACCTGGCCCAGGTTGATTCTGAACTAAGGTATGGAGACTTGAGAGATATTGAGGCTGCAAATCAGACTGTCCTCGGCACAAGGTGGAGTGGGCTGAAGGCACAAGGACATAAAAGGACTTCATGGCTCTTGCTCGTGTTTCCAGGAGCTAGAGGGCTACTGCTCAGGACCCAGAGCCCCTGGCCCTTCTCCTCACTACCTCAGGACTCTGAATTCCCTCCTAGAGCAGCAAAAGTAGCCAGATTCAGTATCACCTGGGAAGGCTGGTGTCCCTGGCTCCAGGCCCTGCACTGGGGCTGGGGGAGGTCAGTCCTGGTTGCCCCTGGGGTTACTCACAGGTAGGTGACACCTTGATATCCATGAAATGAACCCAATGGCCGTGGCCTTGGGTTGCAATGTGGGCTGGCATCCATTCGGGCTTTCTCCTAACCCAGGCCCTGCAGTGCATCCCAGAGCCAATTCCTCAGGGATTCTGCCACCCTACGAGGGTCCCCAACACCTACATCATGGGTGCTTAGGAGACAGATGGAATGATGACTTCCACTCTGAGGCTCTCTGTGTCTGGCTCTCCACCCCCCTCTTTAGTTTTACGTCTCCTACACAGGACCTATCCAACCCTCCACTTTTCATTTTGCCAAGTGTTGACATCTGAAAGAAAACAATAAACCAAAAGCAAGTAAGCTTTTGTATTCATCCACTAACCTAGGAAGTCTTAAAACTCAGGTGATAAGAAAGGCCTGCCCTAGGATCCTGCTTTTCCCTTTATTGTTTTCCCAGAGGTCAGCCTCACTTTTATCTCCAGCATCAATAAATAAGGAGCAGGACACCCTTCTCACTCTCACATCAACCACAGTGAGATGGAGCTTCCTTTGCCCTTGGAATCAAGGAGAAAGCGGCTGGCAAGTGGTGACGGTGTGGCGCAAGTCACCTATCTCTGCTTGACACTGCCCAAGCACCACCTGTGGAGTCCAAGCGCAGTCTGCCCTCCTGCTGGGACCTTTGTTTTCTCACCACTATCCCCTGTCCTTCTCCAGCTCTGGTTCCCCTGCTCTTAGGAGGGAAGCTAGAGAACTTACATTTCCTCTAGATGGATTCTAGAAAAGTCACGGCCAAACAGCGTAGAAGGCTCAGAGCCAAGGCTGCAGGTCACCTGTGTCTGCTTCTGAGACCCACTGTGTGCCCAGAGCACTCCATAAGGCACTTGAAATACGCAGCACACCACATAGGACTGGAGTGCTTTGCCCCCAAATATGCAGACACATTTTGTTTGTTTGCTTGCTTGCTTGCTTGATCTTGCTGATCTCAGGTATCTGTGAGCAGATTAACTAACCAGTTTGTGAGTTGTTCTGACATCTGGCCTCTGTTCTGTTTTTCAGGACTGCAGAGTGAGGAAGGAGGTTTACAGAGCCTCCTGTGCTCAGCCTGGCTCCCTCTGCACACAAGCACCTCCTGTGGGCTGGGGAGATAGCTCAGTAGAATAAGTGCAAGCACAGGATCCTGAGTTCAATCCCTAGTACTGGAAAAAAAAAAAAAAAAAGGCACCTCCTGTGCCCACGCTTTGCAGGGGACAGCAGTGTGGGTAGAAAGCATGGGGGGACGGGCAAGAGCCTCAGCAAAGGCAGGCCACAGCCATTCTCTCAGGAGCAAAGGCAGGCCCCAAAGGTGAACCTGGTACTCAGGCTGACCCAGAGGACCTGTGTGTCCCATAGGTCCAGATCACTGGGCTGGTGGTGGAACTTGAAGTTGGTCCAGGTCAGACACAGGAGATGCAGACAATACCAGTAGGGGTTCATCTACAGAGAATATTAAACAGATAAAAGATTAAATTATCTTTTTGAGCTGGGGAGATGGCTCAATTGGATAAGCACTTCCCTGGCAAGCGCAAGAGCCTGAATTCAATCCCTGGTTCCGCAAAAATAAATAAAATTATCTTTTCACTTTTGGTGAGTTCCAGTAGTTCTAAACAAAGTCATCAATGAGACTCTTTTTCCTCAAAGAGAAGTTATTGTCTAAGCCCTAAACAATTATGTCACCCCATTGTCTTAATAATGCATAGGCAAGCTTTGCACTAGCACACTGCAGATCCTTCTTCCAGAAGCTTTTGCTCAGAGGTTAACCTGAGAAGTCCTAGCTATGGCATAGGCCAGGCCCAGGAAGACACAACTAACCCAGGGCCAGTGCTCGCTGCCCAGCATACAGAGCTGCAGGACACATGGCTACAGGTGCAGGCAGGGAAGCCAGGAGCCTGAGCTCAGATCTGCTGTGACAGGCTGCAGGGCATCTGCCTGGAAGATCCCTTTGCTCCGGCATAGGCGGCCACCATACCACACCCATCACAGTACAAATGGATTTTGGGGTGCGGTTACCACGCCCAAGCTTGTGACAGCCAAAGGTTGTTGTCCCAGGAGCTGGCTTCTCTGGTGCACATTCATCCTTGAAAAACCTTGCGTGTTCTCCCC